ACAGGAGCGAGGGGCTTCCTCGGCCTCGCCTTAGTGCCCCGCCACGTGCGGGGGCTGGCAGCCACCTCAGCCCCGTCGGGATCCGGGCCGGGGTCCCTTAGCCACCCCTGCTGTCCCAGGACGGGTTGGCGTCAGCGAGACCCGGGCAACAGCCCGCTGGTCCTGCAGCCAGGGGAAGGGATCACCTCAGTGGCCCCTACGCAGCAAGGGCCGTGTCTGGATTTGGGCCCTGGCCCCCTCTCGTGTCCCTGCCGGGGTCCCGCTGGGGCAGGGGGTCCCTGTGAGGTGCTGCTGCCTCCCAGAACTGAAAATGAAAGGATCTTTTTTTTCAGGGAAAAGAACGTCTGGTAGTTGTGAAGTGAGTCCACTGGAAAACCCACCAACGTGCTTCACCCGGCACAGGTGAAATAGCTCCGGTTTCTAGTGTGGGAGGTGTCTAGTTTTGGTCAAATGTTCCTTAATATGTCTTTTAGCTCAAAATGCTAATGGCTTTGTACAGGTAACCTCAAATGAATTTTGGAAATTACAGTAATGCTTACCTTAAAGCCTTACATTATGCCATCTGATTAAAATAGATACATCTAGAGTTCTAACTTTGTTACTTAACAACATACGATGAAGGTCTATTTTAAGAATGTTCTCAATTTTTGAGGATTGGTAGACTTAAAAAGAAAATTGGCAAATTTAGGGCAACTCATCGTTCCCCTGTAGTCAAGTGCCCTCTACTATGGGCACGCCTGTACTGGCAGTGTTTCACGCTAAGGCCGTACCCACCAGGTACCGCTGCTGATTGATGAACCGGAGCGCTTGTGTTTTGTATGAAGCTGTTACTTACAGCCTGGTGACATTTTTGCAGCCATCTTCAGCCTTTTATGTGATTTTTTGTAGTATATACATACATCAGACAGGTTTTATTAATTGTAAAGCTAAATTATCTACAGAAAGCAACCCGAAATTTACTTAGTGGGAGTTATTTTGATGTTTCAGTATTTTTATGATGAGTGAATGAATTTGTATGTAGGGCCTGGTCCTACAGAGTTGCATGTACTGTGTTGTCACAGTATGGTAAATCCTTAGGAGGTACAAATTTATTGTAATATCATATTGAAACTTGGATAGCTTATAACTGCTAAAAGGCTGCTCTGTGAGGAGCTCTACTGCTTTATTTTATTTATTGAGTATTTCCACTGAAGCAAGAATGATATTGCAGTATTTTGTGGAAATAAGATTGTTTGTCTTTGCAGCATCGGGACTAAAAATAAGACTAAGGGATTTTGCTTAACCTCATATGCAAGTGCAGGTTATCTGTTATTTGAATAAATAAAAGACTTGGACTTACAGCCTTTTTTTCATTCAAGTACAGATGCAAGGTATGCTGTGGTATGTTTAGTCTCTGCTTTCTCTCAGGATCATGGTTTTGATATTTTGAGATAACGTTTTAAAGTGCATTTCTGTGATGTTGCAATGGCCTAAGTGTTCCATTTGTTGCTGCATCTGAAGGCCACCTTTCTGCAGCCCCGCTTGCCCTGGCAAAACCTGGGCCTGTTTATAGCCACACTGAAATAAGTGTGCTTCTGTGCAAGCATGAGAATCTGTCTGTGAGGATGCGATTGCAGGACTGGGCCCTGAGACCTTCTGTTCAAACAGAGAAATCCTTGTTCAAAAGACTTCCAAAGATATGGAGCCCGTCTTGAACCTTAGGTCAGGAATAGCCATGTTCAAGAAATTATTTTATTGAAATCTATAGGAATGTGCTCTTAGCGACAGTTATGAATCTTCCTACTTAACACCTTTTATCTTTAGAAATCCTTTGAAGTTTCTAAAATTCCTAGAGTCTTGAATGTTTGTTGTTTTTTGGGCTTTGGGCTGTCTTTGTCATGTTTTCTTTAAGGTACCATTTATCAGATGAGTGAATCAGCTGAAATTAAAATTCCTGCTTAAGTTCATTTTGTGTAGGAAAACAAAAAGAAGAACCTGTTCAGTTTTGGAACAAAAAGAGTTATTTTCCCTCCTCTTAGTTATGTTTTCTGCTTTTGATTGAAACTTGTTACAAGTCTGTAAGTTCTCTAGCCATTATTATTATTAGGAATAATACTTAAATTTAGCTCTGTATTTATTGCATTATATTCTGAAGCATAATCTATATTACCAGTATTGCCTAAAATATACTGCTGCTTTTCTGTTAATATATCGAACATCCTTATGCAATATAAACTGCCTTTTTGCAGAGTTGAAGTAATAAGCTTTCTGAAAAGGCAGAATGAGGACAATGTTGCTGCTTTTATCTTCCTGGGTAGATTTTAACATATAAAAAAAAAGTAGTCCAAAATATGATTCCAGGTGGTAACTAAAAATGTCTAGTAAGATCTTAACATGCTAAGTGCCTTGATCTGTCAGAGTACTTGCATGTGTGTGCAGTACCTTGACTTGCGCGAGGCTCTTCAGAGGTCTTCTTGAGTAAGGATTGTGCTCTAGTTAATAAAAGTGTTCCCTACAGGAACTCTTGTAGTTGACTTTGGTTGCTTCCCAGTGTTTTCTGTCTCAATTTGGATGCTTTTACTAACAAAAAGGCTCTTGTTTCCAGAGTTACAGCAGGCTTGGTTTGGTAGCTGAGCGTAGTAGAGAATTGAGCTCTTAAATGGCCAGAACTCAGCCAAATTTATGGTTAGATCACAGAATGGGGACAGAAGTTACAACTTTGTGGTGTTGATGTCAACCACAATTAGATGTGGTGCAGCTTCTCTTGATAGAACAGAGCATTTCACAGAGAGGTACGAGTTGCCTAAAGTCTCTTAGTATGAAATAGAAAAAAGGAATGTTTTTGCTTTCTCTCTAATAATACAGTTTTTACTAATGCTGACTGAAAGGTTTTACTGTAAGGTAGCTTTAAATGCCGCCTCTCTCTTTGCAATGATTTTTATGGTCTCTGTTCATCAAATTCCATGTTGCCCAAACATCTTAAAATCTATGTATTTACTGTTAGTCTCAGCAAAAGGGTCACAGTAGCAACACAGGGAATTGTTCTTTCTTGGTCAAGTTGAGGAATCAACAAAACTACTATTTATGCTATTTGGTTTTGTGGAAAAACTGAGGTTCTTGGAGATCCATGTTCCACTTCTGGCCCCAGGCTGATGGTTTTGGAAGCATATGTAGATGATTGTACCTTGTCTGTGAGATGTCATGAGCACACCAAGCAATTTAACATGAAGTCTGCCGCTAGTATTAGCAAATACAAAACAATACAGTTAAGACCTCTTTAATCGTGGCTTTTGTTTGGATGCAATGTGTGAAGCTCTGAGATCAGTCCTCTTAATTATACATCTTTTAACCACAGACATATAATTGCCTTGCAATTTACAATGCATTTGGGGATTCCATTGCCTAAAAGGGTCTTACATACATTGAATGTCAAGTACTGAGAATATGTTTAAGAATGTATCCAACCCACATGATTTAAAATATTCTAATACTTTCAGTATGGTGTTTTCTCAAAATTACCAATTGAGTTTTGGGGCTATAATGCTTTGGGCTTTCTAATAGTGATTAGGCCATTAACTTCTCTGTAGACTACAGATGATGTCAGGTACCAAATTTCTATATGACATAATGCTGATACTCAGTATGGTCTAGCAAAGATTCCTCCCCAAAGTTTGCTGCTACACTGTTTCCCAGCCTCTCTGAAGGACTGTTTAACTGTTTTGGGAGAGGGTATGTAGAGTGCAAAGCTACAGCTTTGTTTTCTTGGAGCTGCGCTGCAAGGGAACTGATTATGCCTGCTTGCCAGTACTAACAGCAGTTGGGAGCTGGCTTCTTCCTATGCCTGACAGTTGCACAGGTGTGTACCTGTGTGTATTTAAGTCTTTAATTTCTCTTTTTACAGTCACCTTGCAAACCATAGAATCACAGAATCATTTAGGTTGGAAAAGACCCTTAAGATAATCAAGTCCAACCATTAACCTAGCACTGCCAAGTCCACCACTAAACCACGTCCCTAAGCACCATATCTACATGTCTTTTAAATACCTCCAGGGATTGTGACTCAACCACTTCCCTGGGCAGCCTGTTCCAATGTTTCACCACTCTTTCAGTAAAGACATTTTTCCTCACGTCCAATCTAAACC